ACGACTTCAGCAAACACGTCTGATATGAGAATAAAGAGTTGAACAATGTAAGCCGCTTCTGACACCCAGCTACTACACACTCTCACAATAATGATGTGATGTCATGCATTCAGTCATCACAAGCTGAATCACATCACATGACTATTTCAGATAACAGTGTTGTCTTCAGAAGAGCTGCTTATGGCTCAATTGAACTTGATTCATAACGGATGAACTTTACACAGTCATTGAACTGAAAGTTGAATGTTGGATTTGTCCATAGACATAATGATTTTTATACTTTGCAAACTGTATATTCTATCCGGTAACCCTAAACACAGCCCTCACAGGAAACCTTGTGCATTTTTACATTTCAAAAAACATAATTTAATATGATTTATAAGCTGTTTTCCTCATGTGGACAAAAAAACGTCATTTTGTCCGAGTAATGTTGGATTTACCATGACCACACACAGTCACACACACACATACACAAATACATGCATACACACACACACTGTTGATGGGAATTAGATATCTACTAGTATTAGTAAGACTGACTGTATTGACTGTAATCAATGATTTTATACCAATTATAATATAATAAATATTTTTGACAAAACGAAATGAAAAAGAAATGAAAATAAAATGGAGCAGAACCCTTTACACATATTTAGACTGCTTGTATATATAATTACAGCAATGATGGGAAATAAAATACAGTATAGAGAAAGAGAAAAACAGAGAGATGCCTTTTCGTGCCATTTTAAAATAGACATTGGCCTCAGGGGGACCGTCAGCATGACGCTCCGTCATCACACACACACACACACACACACACACACTGTTGATGGGAATTAGACCTCTACTAGTCTTAGTATGACTGACTGTATTGACTGTAATCAATGATTTTCCACCAAAGAGACTCTGCCTGGCTACTGTACTGTCGTTTGATTGGCTTAATGATGGCCGAGATAAACGAGCGCACGTGATTGGTTGACCGCAGCAGGACATCGTCCACCATCATCTGTGAAGCCGATTGGCCGTCTGTGACCTCAGACACACACAGCTGCTATGAAATGCGCTTTTCTTTAACTTGACAAGATCAATGGAGGAAAAATCTAAGCCAAGATATAAAATGATATGCAGAGCAGCGTCATCCTCAGAAGATCAACAAACACATGAGAGTGGAGTCGATCCTCTCGGTCGTCATGGTTACGCTCTGCTGTGATCAAAGCATGATTCTGTTCAGTGTTCGGTCTCTGACACACACAGTGTTTGCTGACCTCTCTTTGATTCAGGGCTCTGGTCTATCTATCTATCCATCATCTATCTATCCATCCATCCATCCATCCATCCAACGATCTATCTATCATCATCTATCCACCATCCATCCATCCATCATCTATCCATCATCCATCCATCCATCCATCCATCCATCCATCCATCATCTATCCATCATCCATCCACCATCCATCCACCATCCATCCATCCATCATCTATCCATCATCCATCATCGTCTGTCTGTATGCCTGTCTATCTATCCATCATCTATCTATCCATCCATCCATCCATCCATCCATCCATCCAACGATCTATCTATCATCATCTATCCACCATCCACCATCCATCCATCCATCCATCCATCCATCCATCATCTATCCATCATCCATCCATCCATCATCTATCCATCATCCATCCATCCATCATCTATCCATCATCCATCCATCCATCATCTATCCATCATCCATCCATCCATCATCTATCCATCATCC